TGTCAACTTCTTTTATATTTGGAAAGTTGCCCAGCACTGCGGCGCTACTTCTCTAGTGCTGCAACGCTGAGCTTTCCGGAAATTTTGTATGTCTGCTTCCTTTCATCAACGTTGCAGCCTTGTTCTCCTAGAGCTGTAGCAGTCTATCAATTTCAAATGTGAGTTCAACCTGAGATGTTTCGAACTGGGTAAAGTAGTGAACATAAAAGTTTTAGTCATGTCTCTTAACTTTCCAAAGGATAAATAATCACATCAATTGGACTCCTGGATTGAAAGATATGCTCCAAATACCGCATCATATTCAGTCCTTGCATACTGCTGCAGTGCTTAGACTTTGGCAAATATTTTGACCATGATCCAATTAGAACTTGGTGAATTGATAAAAATAAACTTGTAGACCTTCTTCTTATAATTCTATTGGCCTAAGAATCACCTCATTTGGAGTTGTTTAAAGAGAGATATGGTCAAACTACTGAAACATATACGAATGAAGTAATCGCCATACTTGCACTGATTTTCATCAAATGAGCCTTTTTCATCAATTTCCTAAAAAAGTTATAAGAGAAATTAGCAATAACTACTCTTAAAGTAATTTAAAATAAAACAACATAAAATTTAACTAAAATAACTTAAATTAGCCACTTAACGAGTAATCAAATTTAAACTAAAAAAACACCTAAAATGCTAAAATTTGAACCTAAAATCTCAAAGATCTAACTACTTAAACTCCCAAAATGTGTCAAAATAACTCTATATAATAGAGTTATCACCCTCCCACCACGGTCCCATCTTGATTTTCTTTCTAAGGAACTTTTTGCTTGTACCACGCCACTTAATCCTGCAAAGCATTCAATTGTTATAACAATTGCAAAGAGGATTGAGTTGGTTTTCATGTAAAGCACTTCTTTATGACTTAATGGCAGTGATGTTCGAGCCAAAAGAAGTAGAGGAATTGTGTTACATAAAAAAGAAGTGAGTACTAAAAGGATACAAAGGTCTTGTTGAAGAAGAAGGCAAGTGCTAAACTTGCTACGATCTCAACTCTGTTAATATAGGAAAAATTAGTAGAAAGGAATAATTTATTGGGTAAGGAGCTAGAACTGAATGCATATCTTACCTTGATGTTGAGTGGCTTGTCCATGATGGTTATTGATGGCACTAGGGAGGTATCTTGAATCTTTTGTGGTTCGTTTACTTTATTTTTATTTACGAATATAAGATTACTTGTATGAAATTGTCAAGGTGCAAGTGATGGAGGTTTGCTTAGGGTGATTAATGACTTCTATAGACATTACAAGTTTTCTGTTTTGGTGTTAGTTGAACCACGATTAAGTGGTGCTGTAGCTGATAATGTGATTTATTCTTTGAAGTTTGAAAGATCACATAGAGTGAAAGCTTTGGGATGTTTTAGGGGAAGATGGATTTTATGGAAAAAGTGTATTCACTTATCTGTTGTTCGTAATAACTCACAATGTGTTCATTTATTAGTTGAGTATCAAGCGAATTCTAGCTAGTTCTTTCTATAGTTTATGGTTATCCCAATCATAGTGTATGGAAGGCTCTGAAAGAGGAGTTATCTTTGTTTGCAGGGACAATGGATAATACCATGGTTTTTAGCAAGTGATTTTAACTCTTTTCTTTTATTGGATGAGAAAGCGAAGGGGTCATAGAGAGGCAACTTAACGTTGGGGCATTGTAAAAACACATGAACGTTGTGAAAGACATCAATCATGGTAAGGTTAAAAACCCCACTAAGGTGAACACTAATATTGACAAGATTAAAAAACTCCATTAAGGTGAAAAATAGCCAAACTCTCACTTTAGCTGGCCAAATCAAAGATATTAAAATCTCTTACTCTTTTGAAAAGAGCTTAGAGAAAATAAGCACTCTTACTTATTAAAGAAAATATTCTTTATTAATTCTCAACTTCAATGTGTAACAGTTAAGTTAAAAGGGCTTTAACTTTTCTTAAGGAAGAGAGCCTTCTAACTTTCCCATGTGGGATATACAATTCTTAAATAAAAATAAATAAGAAAAACCTAACTTAAATTTTCTTAGAGTACAAGTAAAGTAAAAGATAACAAAGGAAAGATAATTATGAAAATAATCTTCCTCAACTTAATGTGCAAGTAGCCTAATAACGTACTCTTATATCATTGTCCCTAGATTAGAGAAAATCGCCTTCAAGATCTATGTCTTCTTTGTCTTTTCCACAATAAGGAGAGAGATTAACTACATTGAAGGTAGAAGAAAGTTCATAATCTCTAGGAAGTTCGATCTTGTAAACATTCTAATTAATACGTTTCAAGACTCAAAATGGTTCATAAACTCGAGGAGATAATTTGGCATGAGACTTAGGAAAACGTCCTTTCTTTATGTGAATCAACACTAAGTCTCATTCTTTAAAACTAGTTGGCTTTTCGTGCTTATTGGCTTGCTTTTGATAGTTGGCAGTTTAATGAATAATCTTCTTTCGAACTTCTTCATGGAGCTTCTTGATTTGCTTA